AAAGTCGAACGTCGTTTTAACCCTCTAAGGCGTGAGGTCGTTTTAAAACGACATTCATAAAAATTGGCTCCAGAGAAGCCATCTTTCATTCCAACGACTATGTTATTCTATGAACATGTTGTGCTAGAACCTGCCGAAGTTTTGAGCCAATCGGTGGACCTCTCCGAACCACACAGTGGATCCCATACCGTCCTAAAAGTGACTAATTTCGATTTTCGTTGCCCTAAAGATATTCACATACCGACGAGGTACGGATAAAAATTGACGTCTACTAGACCTAAACTTAATAAAATATGTTCGCTGAACGTGATCCGATGTCTAAATCTTTGTTTCGGTGCACCTGGCAGCTCTGGCAGTGAAAAAAAGTCGAACGTCGTTTTAAAACGACCTCATGCCTCAGGGGTCACTCGACAATCGACATCATCGAAGATCAAAAAATGATAACTAATCGACTTTTGTGGTTTCTGATGCTTTATTAATGAGTACTGAGGCAATATCGAGTGGCATAGTTCTGAATAAAGATTTTCTTTGTACTCATTTCAGTGTTTCGACCATCGGAGCAAAAAGCGCACCTTAGTGCAAGTTGCCATTTTCGAGCGCAATTTTTCGTATCATGCATTCGTCACACAGTCTTCTGATCTTATGAGCTGCTAGTGAGTGTCCCTGAGATACCTTTGAGCATGCATATGTTACTTTAGGGCACAGCGTCTGTGAGTGGAGTCCGTGCAAAAACAACACTTTTAACGATACTGTTGTTTTAAAACGACATATGTTGTTTTAAAACAACAAGAGTTGTTCAAAGTGGTGTTTTTGCACGACCTTCACGCACAGACGCTGTGCTCTAAAGTACCATTCTCATGCTGAAAGTTATCTCAGGAACACTTACTAGCAGTTTGTGAACTCGCACGACAGTAGAGCGGATGCATCATAGAAAAATTGGCGCCCAAAAATGGCAACTTGCACATTGTTGCGTTTATTCCTCCGATGCTTGAAACACTTGAAATGAGTGCAGTGACGCTCCATATTCAGAAACACGACCCTTGATATTTCCTCAGCATTCAATAATAAAGCATAAGAAGCCAAGGGAGTCGACAGTTATTTTTGGCTGAGCGATAGCGAAGCCTATTACTCCAGTGATGATCAAAAAGTTTCGTGTCTGTCTGTCTGTCTGTCTGTCAGTGTGTCTGTTTGTCTGTAAACACGATAACTCGAAAACGGTTTGAGCTAGGTACCTGAAATTTTTAGTGTAGCTTTGTAGCATAAAAAGCAAGAACTGTATTGATTTGGAGCCCTCTAGCTTAAATATTGACCTGTCAA